CTAGCAAGGGGGACAGTTCATTAGTAGAAGTCTTATTTTAAGGAAAATCTTTAGCTATTTTGTGAAGAAGGCTGACTGTACAGACGTAGAAACGGATTTTCATCAGCACACAGTGTTCTGCTTTGCTACAAACCAAAAAGGTATATCTAAAAAAGGCATATCTAAAAAAAGAGCATACAAACAACATCAAGAACTTGGATTTTATTTTATTTTTTTTTAGCTGGACAAGATATATCTTCCATTTCAGTGGAAATCTGTTCTACATTGTAGACACTATTACAGAGTGGCGATGTGTACAAAGGAAAGAAATACAGTGGCTTCATATACTTTTCAGTTTATGATTTTTATTTTTTAAATAAAGAAGGCCCTGTTTTTAAAGAGTAAGATTTGCAGCTACTTGATGGACCACCGGAGGGGAAATTGGTTTGGATAAAACTAAGGGGTTCATTCAAAATAAAATAACATCTTATTTTATACTACTTAGTATTTATTTTATTTATTAATTTGGGTATACTTTAAAGATACTATATACAGGTTGAAGTGCATCTTTCCATTGTCATATTTGAATTAAAACATTTCACTAAATAACCAAAATATGTTTTGATATTTTGGGAAAAATCACCCTCCTTTTTTGATACAAGCTGTTCTGTTAATTGTATGTGATCCAATTTATGAATGGTTTTGGTCTCCCAGAAGCTCCATATTATATCCTATGTACTTAAAAAAAAGCCAAAACAAACAACCCAGCCCCAACAAACTACAGGAAGCACACAAAACAATAACTTTCATCCTGGTCATTTGTTACTAACATTATTGGGGCATCTAGAAATGTGTACACCTAAGAATGCAAATACATATGCCATTCTACCTGTCAAAAGTAAGATTCATACAAATTTTATCTAGATGAATAGATTGCGGTCATTTAGGATTACTGGGTCACATATTCTATTGTTTTATAAACCACAGACCTTAGAATGCACTCCAGTACATTTTCTACACTGTACTACATAGAAAACATGCATTTTGTGTGAAACGTTTTTTCCTGAAAGGCCTTCAATATATTTTTAAAATTCCAAAGTATTTTAAGAATTACATTAGAAAAAGAGTTGACTTTATCTTTTGAGTATGTAGTTATATGTTGCATCATTATTATATATACACATTTATGTAGTATGTAGTAAAATTATTGTGATTATGCACAAATTGCTAAGCAGATTGCAGAGCACAGAAATTCAAGTCAACAACAGAAAAGCAACTAGAAAAGTCCAGTGTGCCTGTGCAGACTTTACTTTGGTTTATAATGCCCAAAATGAACTGGCTGCCTGTCACTGTTCTGACTATCAATTGAAGTAGCACACTTCAGATAGTTCCAGACTTTCAAACTGCCATCTGTTAAGACGTAATCATAAGCCCACTGACAAGTGTTTGTCAGAAATCACTTCATGCTAATTGATTTCTTTTCCAACACACTTTAGTAGCTAATTTTTAAGACCCGAGAGCCATCATTACTACACATTACTTGTCAAGATAACAACACAGCTGTCCTTTGGAAAAAAGAGCCTAAAGTACTTGAACTATCACAAAATTATAGGAGAATTGCTTTTAAACAGCCATGTTCAAAATTTTAACTGAAACGAAACGAAGCGTTGATCAAAACAACATATCCCATCACCAACAGCTGCATTCTTTTGCATCATTAGTAAATTTAATTTTGTTTTGTTTACAGTGAATGAAGAGGTGCAATGATCATGCAAAATCACTAGTGCAAGCGATTTCATTCTTTTCAGGCATGCCTTCTTCCTGACATAATTATGCCTAATGATTTGTTGCATTCTGCATCTGCAGTAATCATGATTTCATCCTCATCTTTAATTACTTGCATCTTTGCTATTCTTTCAAAGATGCGGTCAGCAGCTCTAAAGGGGTAGAAAGTTAAGGGACCAGTGAAGGCAATGATGCCTATTCTTACTAATGCCAAAGAAAATTTTGACAGTAATAGGGCAAAATACAGCATTCACTCTGTTATACAATGGTAAATGCCTGATAAATAAATCGCACAGTGTTAGTCATAAAGCTGAAGCCTGTTTAGAATTTCCATTTTAGCCCAAAGTCTATATTTATTCCCATCAACGTTCAATTTCAGTTTTAACATCTGTTGAAAAATCTGCCTGCCTATTGTCTGTCTCCAAAGAAAGAAAAAATGTTGTTATGGGCTGTGTTCCTGTTGTATCTCTGCAGTCAATTGAGCAACACCTTGTGTAAGGCTTGGTCTATTCTTATGGAGCTCTTGACAACTTTGAAACGTCTGAAAAAGGACTGCTCTTCTCAGACCTTTCTCCAGGAGCTGATTATCTGCAGAAGGGGGCTACCCAATACTAAGGAGCACTTTTATTGTCGATGAGTCCTAGTCAAGTAATCTGCATAGACTTACATTTTCCATCATTACGTAGATTCCTTCTGTAAGTCAATATCTGGATTGAATGTTCCCTGAGATGAAAGCATGGCTGAGAGGCAGATATGTGTCAATATATGTGAAATAATAATAAAAAAAAAACCAACAAAAAAACCTCACCTAAATTAGATCAGTCCTCAGTTGGACCCAATTCTAATCCTATGGAAGCACCTTTCCTGCTCTTTAGTGGAACTTGAAAACATGTGGAGGAGTGAGGAAGAACAGAACTGCGGTATCCTCTTTAATGAGCAAAAAGGCTAAAGTCTGTTTTACTAACTCCTTGATAAGAGGAGCAGAGGTTCAGTTCGCAAGGTCAGTCAGCTGAAACTTGCATTTCTGAAAATTAAGGAGTTAGCAATACCAGGCATGTTTGTGGTTAAGAGAAACTTAATGCTCAGCAGGCAGAGTAGTAAGAATCTTGGAAGCTGTTACGGTGAATTGCAAGAAAAAAAGCATCTATAAACAGGAAAATCCAAATAAGCAATGCTGTTATTGGTATTTTAAAACATAAAGTGGCTGTTAGATCAATTCTAAGGCCAGCCAGTACATTCTTGAAGAAGCTAATATTGAGAAAACTCTGAAAACTACTCAAATCACACTGGAGAAAACACACAAGAACGCATCCTCTGTTATTCAGAGAGAAGCAGTGATGCAAGCAGCTGATTTCCAGTTCTAATTTTTCTGACTTCTGGAAGTCAGATATATTGATCTCAGTGATATGGCCCCATCTTTGATAAATGTAGACATTTGGATGACGAGATAATTCGTATGTGAAGCTCCAAAATAGTTCATAAAAAAAAAAAAAAGGATTTGACTTTTGGAGGAAATGAAATTATACAGATTTTCGAAAGTTTAATTGCTTTTCTGGTTAGATTCAATTTATTTAGGTTTACAATGGTTTAAGTTCATACAGCTGTAAAAGTAAGTCTAAAGACTGATGAAATACTGTCAGAGCACCAGTTATAGCTAATAACCCACCTAATTAAGGGCAATCTACAGTTATGTGACACTATTCATCTGCCAACATAAAAGTGGTTTGCAAATGAATTAATGAAACATATGCAGTAAAAAATATTAACTGCATTATATAGTGGGCAAATGGAGGCCTAGAGAGACTAAAGTGATTGCCATGGCAACAAAGTAAGTTTGTATCAGGATGTGGAAAAGTACACAGAATTTTTTTTGCAGTCTTATGTAGCAGTCTCTTTTTAGATGTTTTTTTTTTCTTTTGTGCATATTTGTTGTTTGTAGGCTGAGTTGCATATGCCAGCATCAGAGCCCTTCTGGCTTGCTGCTTCTCTTAGCCAGGGGTTGGGTTGCCACCAGGGGTTGGGTTGCCACCAGGCTTTGAGCCAACACAATCTTATTGCTGCCCAGGTGGTACCTGCATTGGAGGTACTGCAACTCAACTGCTTGTGATATACGTGCTGTCAGGACACCCAGACTGGCCAAATCCCACGTGGGATCTGTTTTACCATTGTGTTCCTTCAGTTAAAACTAGGGAAATGCCAAAAGAAAGTTATCTTTTAGTACTAAGACACTAGTTCCTCTCTGCATTTCCTCAGGTTTATGTAGATGTACTTGCATTAATTCCTGTAAAGCAATTAATGGCCTTCTGTGATTTGCAAACTGTATTTGCCATGTCATGTTTTTGAGTGAAGGTGTATATCAGATTTCAAAAGTCAGAGTTCTGCATGCCAGCGCTCCTCACTGTTTTAATATTTCAAGGGAAAGGCAGCTGAGCAAATATATTTGGGGCTTAAGATAAGGCTCGGGGGTTTTAGAAGCATCGTGGTGACTGAAATGCACACATCTCATTGACAGGTGCAATAGCAATGAGATTTCATTCAAAAGCGTGAGAGCTGAGTACAGAGTGTGAGGGCAACCACGTTCCCTTCCTCCCTTCAAACTCAGGAGCTAAGTCTTGCCAGTCCTCTGCACTTCACGCAGACCTGGTCACTCTTACTCAAGAAAACAATAAGCTTGGAGAAAAGTGCAAAGAAGGGCAACTAGTGAGATGAGGGGAATGGAAAGCCTGCTGTGCAAAAGGAGAGAGAGATTGTGACTTTCCAAAAGAGGCTCAGGAAAGCGCCAATTCACGCTCAAGAATAAATTGGGTGGATAAACATTGTAGAGAGAAAAAGAACTGTTTAAGCCCAAGAAAATAACTGATGGTCTGCATTGTGCATGCACGTTCAAGCTGGAAAGTGGAAGGTTTTCAACAATAAGAGGACTGAGTTTCTATTTCCAATATGAGGGGGGAGAAACCAACTGTGGTGGAGTTTTTTGAACACAATGGAGTGTTCACACAATGGAGGATCAGTCCACGACCCGGTTGCCTGCAGCAGCAATCCCTGCCAAGACTGTGTTTCTTTGATGTCAAACAGCTCTGTTGTAAAGATTGAGGATAATGAACTGAACATTGTGGAAGTGTCTTATGGAAGACATTGTTCCCCCAGCTACGCTGGAAACTGAACCAATAGGGGTAAATGTGTTGTCCTGTTCATGATGTTGTGCCAGTGTTTCACCTAGGCGTGAGAGAACTTACCTTCCCATTGTGAGCCCTGATGGGTCCCTGAATTCATTGTATCTATTTAGAGGAAAAAATAATCTAAAAATTTAAATAATAACTTTACAATTATATAGTTACTATGGTTATCCAGTTACTCTATGCATAAAGGCAAGACTGTGGGTCTAATGTTATGGACATAAATATGCAATAGTGGAGATTTAACAGCAGATAGCTAAAATATATAATGGAACGAGGTTTTTTGCTTGTTCTTCACTTGCCACCCTTTTTCTTTCCTTTTGTATCACCTCATGCTTTTTATTAAATCCTTTATTTGGCTCCTGTGTTCAGGGAAAAAGCTTATTCATGTGCTCCTGTAGTCACAAAAACATTTTCTGAATTTTTCAGACTCACTTTGGCTTCTAATGTATCTTCCAGGCAATCTTTGGCATTCTGTTTTTCCTTCCTTTTATTTGCCTTTCTTGGTTGTGGTTTTTTTTTTTTTTTTTTTTTTTTCTGTCTCATGTTGTGTTTGCTATTTCTGTCCTTTTATGCTGATAGTCTCTTTTCATTCTAGGTGTTGAAAAAAGTATAACACAGGGAACATCCCACCAGGGTAACTTAGACCTAAGTGTGGAAAGATGACCTTCTGCATCTTGGTGGAATATCCCTTTTGCAGTCCTTTCCTTTCCAAATATTCTCTTCCTTCCCATTCCTGTTGTGAAAGATCTTATTGCTTTTCCTTCACTATCTTTCCTCTCTGTTAGACTATTTCTTACTCTTTTTTTTCCCTCTTTTTGACCATTACTCTACTCCTCCTGACTCAGTGTACAGCCTGAATACAATTTTGCTAGTGTGTGTTGCCAAGGTTGGATTCAAACCCCTTATTCATTCAGTGAAATTTCCTTCATATCTGAGACATTTTTCTGTGTGGGTATAACAAATGTGCGTTGCCTGCTGCAGAATCTCAATGCTGTGGCTTTAAAGCAAAGAATTTATGTGAATAACTGTGTCCCTTTACTCTTTGAATACAGGTGATCCCCTTTCAAATATAATACAGTGTCCAATGGTATTGCAGGTTTAGTGGGGACAAACTCCCAATTATTAATTACTTAAAAGTTATACATTTATAGACACTTCATTTACAAACACACTCTGCTTTGAAGGCTGACCTTACAAAAAAAAACCCCACCACTTTTTGGGGGAGATTTAGATGCTTTAGTGTAATTTTGTAACTAATTATGATATATGAAAACTACGTGAGTATGGTTAAACCTGCATGCCCAGTATAATGGTTAAATTCTGATAGCAGACTGCAGAAAAGTCTCAGGGACTGAGATACTCTCTTTTCTTCCGGGGTTGTGATGGGCAAGGGTTGATTTCAGTGGACGTCCAGCAACTCAGACTCGTGCGATGTAGGGATGAGCAGGGCTCTTGGTTTACTCTGAATGTGTAAATTGCTGTAGGCATTGTACTGCTGCTGCAAAAGCAATTAATATTTGGAAAGTAAACATGAAGAAACTTCAACCTGGCAGCTGTTTAAGCATGTTGTTAGACATCTAAGGCAGCCCCCTCGTGGCCATTTATGTTTTGAAGCAATTGTGTCAAAAAACAATTTAAAAATAGCCTTTTTTTTGGAGGAGAAATGAGTGCTTCCTGATTTAAAATTTCTGCTGTGTCCTGTTACACTTGTTAAAGGTGTCGATAACACCAACAACCTGTGGTGCTAATAATACAGGTTAAACCCAGGTTTTGTGTGGTATTGATCTGAAATGACTGAATTGCAGGAGCAGCTCTCTGAAGCCTGGCCTGCAGCGGCAATCCCACACACCTGCCGGCAGCACCGGCAGAGGTATGTCATGTACAGCGTCTGTGCTATCCCACACCTGCCTGGTTGTCTTCTGCCGGGGCACGCTCATCCTCTGTTTCTTTTGAAGTGCACTGCACAGGGGCTGCACATGCTTCCTGGAGCATCTTGAATTTTTCTGTCTTTAGTTCCTGCCTGTCCCCCGGTCCTGTAACGACCTGTGGTTGCCTCGTCTTTGCTAAGTTAATTATTAATGTCTTCCAACTGCTTAGCTCAACCTTACTTGCATCGTTTTGACTTTAATCCTTATTGGCACTTGTGTGACAGAGCTCAAAATGCAACCAGTGGCTTGAAGAGGAGAGCTGGGTCATGAAACAGATTGTGATGTCAAGACAGAAATGAGAGATGCTCAAGTCACAATAGCTGAGACACAAAGTCGAAAGCACTGAGAAATTCCGAGGGAAAAAAACTGCCCCTTAAATTTTGATCAGGTGCCTTTTGTGTAGCAGCTCGTCAGAGCCAAAAGCAAAGCATGTCTTCCTGCAGTTATGTGAAGAAGTCGTTCAGTGAATTTCTGTTTTTTGTGAATTGGTTTTTTTTTGTTTGTTTGTTTTTTTTTTTTAATCCTTTTTTTGAGGGGGGAAGGAATTGTTTTGGGTTTTTGACATTTCCGCGGCCACACTTGGTGGGTCCTTCTCTCGGAGCACTGCGAACCCCCCTCCGCAGGGGCAGGAGGAGCACCTCTGGAAGCAAACCTCTGCTCCAGAGAGGCGCTGCCCGTCCTCGCCGGCGCTTCTGGCTGCTGTCTAACGAGGACAGACCCAGTTTACCGGTTGGATTGTGACTGGCGGGCGGAAGGCTTTAAGCATTCTGTTCCGTTTCCGACCGTTCCGGCTGCCAACCTGCTCCGGAGGGAGCCCGGTACCCTTCTGGAGAACAGCAGAGTACTGGTCTCAGTCACCGCGCCGCCCGGCACGGCT